CACCATCGGTCACCTCCGAGCCGTAAACTGCCGTTTGGCCGCTTGGATCCCACCACGGCTCCACGCGGGCACAGCGGTCATCGTCCAGGGTCAAGTCCACAACCCCATCAACGGCCTCCGAGGTATCGTACGGGGGCAGTCCAGCGAGCACCCCGGCCACTGGACCGTCACGCTGTCGTCACCTGAGCTGCTCCAGTCTGACCGTCCCTGCACCTGCGCTCCGCGCCGAGATGCCGCCCCCCAGTACGGGCGCACAGACCAAGGCCCAAACTCAGGGACCCCAGCCCGGCCCAGCAGTGGACCCACGCCACCGTACCTCAGCAGCACAGCGCCCTGACGTCACGGCAGCAGTACCCTGCAGGCCACCTGCGCTGACCGTCCCACCAGGCAGCCACGCCCAGACTGAACGCACAGCTGACTGTGAAGTCGGACTCCGAGACTCACGCGACGACGGCGCCGACGACCACTACCTCCACCACGACCTCGGGGCGCAAGCGCCTGTGGGCTTCTGGGACCCGATCGGGTACACAGCCGACGGCCCCAGCTACGGCCCCCCTACGGCCGGCCCCTCTGCGGCGAAGCCCGTGAGCAGCAGCGTCGCCGCTGGGAGGCAGGATGCCGACCCCGGCGGCCGCAATTTCCAGGGTGCGGACACGCTGCGAGAGTTCGCGGAGATGCTGTCGCACCTGAAGGAGCAGGACCTGCTCCAACGACTGGAGGCTGAGGAGCGCTACGACAGGAGGAGGCTGAGGAGGCTGAGGGCCAAACGCAAGGCCGCAGCAGCCGCCGAGGGGGGCGGCGGGGGCGCCGCGCAGGCCCAGGAGGAGCCACCCTACCAGGATGCTCCGGCTCCTGCGCTCCGCCGGGCCAAGCGGATCCTCTTGTCATGGGTGTTGGCCGCGTACTTGCCGCCTCTTGTGGCGGTCCCCGACCGCCGCCCCGCTAGGCACACCCACTGGTTCCGCGAAGCTGGTCCACAGTACGACGGACCGAGAAAGGCCGACGCGCAGCCGACTGCCCACCGATGCTTCGAGCTCCGCCTATGGAGTCTGAGAGCTCCTGGCCCCCGCCCGACTCTGGCCCGCAGTTCGGACATGCTCCTAACCTGCGTGGACGCGGCCCTCGGCCTCCCACACGGCCGCACAGCAGGCCTCATCCACCGCGCCACTCTAAAGCGTCTGCGCACTGATACTGTTTTCATTCTTCAGTTTCTTACGTGGTCCGACGCTTTTGAAAAACGCTGGGGCTTCTCATTCACTTTGCCCTCATCCTGACCAGCGTGGTACGGCCTCGCCCTCGCCGCATGTGCGCGCCCTGCCTTGCTCACCCGGGCGCTGTTCCCTGGTGTGCCGTGCCTGCTGGCGGGGGTGGCGGCTCCAGCCCCGCCCCACGCACCCGTGTGTAATTGACATCACGCCTCACGAATGTGTGCCGCCGGAGAAAACGACCCATTTCAGCCAAAAGGGGTCGTTTTTTCGCAGGGTCCCGCGGCTTTGCATTTTCGTGTCGACTTGTATCACATTAGTGCATTCCGCCACAGCTCCTGGCGAAGTGATTGGGAGCAGCAGCATTCAGTGATGCGGTCGGGAATTTAAGGGGGTACAGGTCTTTCCCTTAAGGGCAGCGGGTGCATCCGCTGTGAGGGCCTCCTCTGCACCCTTGCACTGTCCCCCCCTATGCGCATGCTGGGCCATTCGGCTCCCAGCATGTGCACCTTTTCCTCAGCGCGTCTGGCGCCCCTCTGCCGTCCGCCGCCTGGCCGCGGACTCTGTCTCTCTCGAGGTCCGCCAATGGGGGCTAAAGGTTAGCTGGCAGCGGCTGGTGCCGCTGTGCTGTCGGCTAGATTTTGCCGCTCCTGTTGGGGTTCTCGGCCTGTGCGCACTGTGCTGGGCCATGCGGCTCCCAGCTGGTGCACCTTTTCCTCGGCGCGTCTGGCGCCCCTCTGCCGTCCGCCGCCTCGCAGCGGACTCTGTCACTGCGCACTGTGCTGGGCCATACGGCTCCCAGCTGGTGCACCTTTTCTCTTTTCGCCAGCCCGTGCGCCCGCGAGGCACCGCGTCCACGGGGCCTGGGCGTGGGGGCGGGGGGCGCCCCGTCTCTGCGCGCCGCGCAGCGGCCAAGCGCCCAACCGGCGGTCCGCCAAGCCGCCTTAGCCACGTTTTTCACGTCGCCACTTGCGTTGGGGCCCTCTTTCTTCACGCGGTCTGACACGTGAGATCTTCACAGTCTGTCCGCCGTCAGTAGCTTCAGACGCATTGCGCCGGGGGAGGGGGCCTGTCGCCCGCCCTCGTTTCTTAAGGCTGCACCGCCGCTAATAGTGTTTTGCGAGTTGTCGCTCTCTCTTCCTCGCTCTCTCTCTCTCTCTCTCTCTCTCTCTCTCTCTCTCTCTCTCTCGAGCGCTGCCGCTCGCGATCGCTCGCTCGCTCTCTCTCTCTCTCTCTCTCTCTCTCTCTTCTCTCTCTCTCTCTCTCTCTCTCTCTCTCTCTATCTCTCTCTCTCTCTCGCTACCTCCTCTCTTCTTCTCCCTCTCTTCTCTCTCTCTCTCTCTCTCTCTTCTCTCTCTCTCTCTCTCTCCTCTCTCTCCTCGCTCGCGCTCGCGCTTCGCGCTCGGGCGCTCGCCCGCGAGCTCTCTCTCTCTCTCTCTCTCTCTCGCCTCTCCCCGCTCTCTCTCTCTCTCTCTCTCTCTCTCCTCATCTCTTCTCTCTCTCTGCTCTCTCTCTCTTCTCTCTTCTCTCCTCTTTCTCTCTCTCTCTTCTCCATGGTCTCGCTCTCATCTCTCTCTCTCTCTCTCTTTCTCTTTCTCTTTCTCTTTCTCTTTCTCTTTCTCTTTCTCTCTCTTTCTCTCTCTCTCTCTCTCTCTCTCTCTCTCTCTCTCTCTCTCTCTCTCTCTCTCTCTCTCTCTCTCTCTCTCTCTCTCTCTCTCTCTCTCTCTCCTCTCTGCTCTCTTCGCTACTGGCTTCTGACGGAGTCTGGGTTAGGTGAGCTTGAGTGCGGGTGAGTCTGAGCATGGGTACGTCTGTGTGTGCCTGACTCTGAAGAAATGAATCTGAGTGTGAGTGAGCTTGTGTACGAGTGAGTCTGGGTGCGAGTCTGAATCCCAATGGTGCCCCTGGCAGTGTCTGGCGACTAGGAGGCCCGGGTCGACTCCTCTTTGGGAAGCCAAAATGCTGCCCCTGGCAGCGTTTGGTGATTATGAAGCCCCTGGTGGACCCCCCCTGGGGCCCCCAAATGATGCCCCTGGCAGCGTTTTGTGACCATGAGGCTCTCAAGAGATACATGTTGGGGACGCCACACGGTAATTCTAGCTGAGGCGCCCCACCAAAATCGGCGCGAACGGGCTCGTGAGATCAGCCAGGGTGGCTCCCCCTTGGGGGCTCCCAAATGATGCCCCTGGCAGCGTTTTGTGACCATGAGGCTCTCAAGAGATACATGTTGGGGGCGCCAAACGGCAATTCTAGCTGAGACGTCCCACCAAAATCGTCGCGAACGGGCTCGTGAGATCAGCCAGGGTGGCTCCCCCTTGGGGCTCCCAAATGATGCCCCTGGCAGCGTTTTGTGACCATGAGGCTCTCAAGAGAGACATGTTGGGGAGGCCAAACGGCAATTTTAGCTGAGACGTCCCACCAAAATCGGCGCGAACGGGCTCGTGAGATCAGCCAGGGTGGCTCCCCCCTTGGGGCTCCCAAATGATGCCCCTGGCAGCGTTTTGCGACCATGAGGCTCTCAAGAGATACATGTTGGGGGCGCCAAACGGCAATTCTAGCTGAGACGTCCCACCAAAAATCGGCGCGAACGGGCTCGTGAGATCAGCCAGGGTGGCTCCCCCTTGGGGCTCCCAAATGATGCCCCTGGCAGCGTTTTGTGACCATGAGGCTCTCAAGAGAGACATGTTGGGAAGGCCAAACGGCAATTTTAGCTGAGACGTCCCACCAAAATCGGCGCGAACGGGCTCGTGAGATCAGCCAGGGTGGCTCCCCCTTTGGGGCTCCCAAATGATGCCCCTGGCAGCGTTTTGCGACCATGAGGCTCTCAAGAGATACATGTTGGGGAAAAAAGAAAAGGCCAAAACGTCAAGTTTAGCTTAGACGTCCCCCAAAATCGGCGCAGACGGGCCGTAGAATCAGCCAGGTGGCTCCGCCCTTGGGGTCTCCCAAGCTCCGTGCCCCGTCTGCCGGATGCCCATTGCCAGAGCCCCGACAGTGCCCACAAGAAACCCCGACCGGCCTCCCTGCCTCACACACTCCCCGCCCGCCCTCCCACTACACCCGCCGACCGACAGCGAGGCTGGCCCGCACATCATGGTACACATTGGCAGCGTTTTGTGATCATGAGAGAGTGTGAGTGTGAGTGAATGTGACTGTGAGTGAGTCTGGGTGAGAGTGAGTCTCATCTTATCTTATCGAGTCCTATCTTATATTACCGTTATTACCCTCTATCTTATCTTTTTTGAAATCTCTTATCTTGTCTTAGCTTATCTTATACCAACTCATCTTATCGCATCATATCTTGTCTTATATTATTACTCCATATGCTGTCTTATCTTATCTATTTTCCTACCTTGTCATATATCTTATCTTACCTTATCATAGCTTGTGCTATCTTATCTTATATTGTAGTATCTTATATTGTCTTGTCTTATCTGGTGATTATCATTGGGAGGAGGGAGGCGCGAGCGGGAGGAAGGAGGAATGAGTCCGCGCGTGGGAGGCGTCAGAGTAATAACAAGAACCCCAATCCTTAGGATATGGGGAATAACTGGTTCTGGTGAAGAAACAAGGTCCCTCAAGCGCTGCGAGGAAACCCAGAGGCAGGGCTCAGCAAAATGCTCGAGCCCAAGGTGCTTGAGAAGAGGAGAGGGGAAGGGGGAGGAGGGAGAAGGAAGGGGGTGGGAGAAAGATGAGGGTGTGGAGAAAAAGGAGGAGCATGAAAAGGAGGAGAAGGCGGTCGCGGAGGAGGAGCAGTCGAAAACATTCTCCATTTTTCTCCCCCCCCCCTTAGACTTGATGAAGTAGTACGGCTTCTCGATCGTCTCAATCTTTGACCTGGAGGTTCGGCGAGCGGGAAGCGCAGCACCAGTGGGGCAGTCAGAGGGGGAAAGGGCGAGACTCCAGCAGGTTCCCTCTCCCAATCATCTTCTTCCTCCTCCTCCTTCTCCTCCTCCTCCTCCTTCTATTTCTCCTCGTCCTCGTCCTCCTCCTCTTCATCCTCATCCTCTTGCTTCTTCTCCCCTTCATCGTCATGACCGCAATCACCATCAACATCACCATCACACTCATCCTCATGCTCACCCTCATCCTGATCATCATCATCCTCAGCATGATCATCATTATCCTCCTCATCAGCAGCAGCAGACGAAGCCGCAGCCGCATGCTCAATATTATTATCATCATCACCAGCAGCCTCAGCATCAACATCAACATCATCGTCATCAACAGCAGCATCAGCATCACCATCAGCATCATCATCCATTATCCAGTACCATCGGCATCACCATCATCACACGCATCAGCATCGCCATCAGCGTCCACGTCAACACACCACCAGCAGTCCCACTATCATCATCATCATCATCATCAGCAGCAGCATCATCATCAGCATCATCATCGATATCATCATCATCATCATCATCATCATCATCATCATCATCATCATCAGCATCAGCATCAGCATCATTATCACCAGAAGCAACAGCAGCAAAATAATGATAAGTGGCATCATGATCATCATCATGATCATCATCATCATCATCATCATCATCAGCATCAGCATCACCATCATCATCATCATCATCATCATCATCAGCATCATCATCATCATCATCATCATCATCACCATCATCATCATCATCATCATCATCATCATCATCATCATCAGCAGCATCATCATCATCATCATCATCATCATCATCATCATCAGAATCATCACCACCATCATCATCAGCATCATCATAATCGCCAACACCATCAGCAGCAGGATCATCGTCAGCATCGTCATCATCAGTACCATCATCGTCATCAGCAGCAGCATCAGCAAGAGCATCAGCATCGGCATCATCGCCATCACCATAAGTATCATCGCCAGCATCATCAACTTCAGCATCATCATCATCAGCATCATCATCAGCAGCAGCAACATCAGCAGCAGCACCAGCGTCGTCATCATCGGCATCATTCCCGTCACCATGAGCAGAATCAGCATCATCGTCATCCTCATCACAACAATTTTCATCATCATCACCATTATCATAATCATCGTCGTCATCATCGCCATCATCATCATGATCATCCTAAGCATAATCATCGCCACCACCACCATCATCATCGTCATCAACATCATCATCGCCGTCGTCATCGTCATCGTCATCGTTATCGTCGTCGTGGTCGTGGTCGCGGTCGTGGTCGCCGTCGTCGTCGTCGTCCTCGTCATCCTCATCGTCCTCCTCATCATCACCATCGCCAGCATCATCGTCCTCACCACCACCACCATCACCATCACCATCGTCACCATTTTAACTATCATCATCCGCACCCGTTCCCACACCCGCATCCTCATCCCTCATCCCCTCATTTTCGTCCTGGCCGCCTCGTACTCTTTGCTCACTCATCCCACTTCCTCCTCCCTCATCCCTTCCCCGGACGAAGAAGAACCCACCTAGGGTGTGGGCGCCCTAAACCCAAGGATATCGCATCGCTGCAGCACCATCAGTTTGGAGGGCGCCCTCTCGCCTAATCGCAAGGTCCCATGGGTCCTCCCCGAGCAGAAGGAGGAGGACGAGGAGGAGGAAGAGGCGGCGGAGGAGAAGGAAGAAGAATGATGGAGGAGTGATGGAGGAGTGGTGGAGGAGTGATGGAGGAAAAGACGCTCCATTTATTTTCAAGCCAAACTATTATCGCTGTTATTGCGGCCGATCGCGGCGAGGCAGCAGCAGAGAGACTTTGGGCCAGATGGCCACCCTTGCTTGAAATTTCTCTCTGGCAACTGTCAAGGCTCTGCGGCTGTGCCGAGAGGCACACTGAGAAGGACGCGAAGTGACATGGATGGGCTCGAAAACCGCTTGAGCGAAACCAGTTGCGGCCAGCACAACAAAAATCAGCATTGCACACTGCCCTGCGTTGCTACATGCTTCTTTTATCTTCACGCCAGGCTATTATCGCTGCGATTGCGGCCGAGTTCAGCGAGACAGCAGCAGAGAGACACTGCCTTGCCAAATCTAGCGACCTGGCGGTTGAGGCGGCCCTTTTTCCGATATTCTCATACTTGCCAGCGCACGCACCCCACAAGGCAACCAAAGGACGAGGGCACGGCTCCGCAACAAGGGGCCAAAGCTTTGCGATGTGTTCGACCTGTGAATTTGTAGGAGAGCCGCTACATTCTGCGCGCAAGGGCTGGCGCGAGCGAGGCGAGTCAGGATGCCAGTGCGCAGTGGTCGTGGCCTTACGCCACGGCGCAATCGCGGGCTGCCTCCAAAGCCAGGAGGAACTGGGATTATCTGAAGACGCCGGCGCCTCTATGTTTGACGCACACTCTAATGACACGAGATGCTACCCGCAAGAGACGACTACCATTTGAAGCATTGGCCGCGTCAGCGGCAAACTGAATCTCAGGGGCCCGCCTGGGCTGCCGCGCTTGCCTCGCCGAGCACTTGTAAAACTTCTGCAGGGCGCGCCAAGATGCATCCAGCTCGCGCTGGGAATCAGTTGCAAGACCTGCCTGGCTACACTTTATCTGGTAAGAACTTGGCCTGGCGAGTCTCGGATGTCCCAGGTGACAGACTGCCGCCCTCTGCGGCCAAGTGCTTGAGTCAGCCCTTGATGGCCATAAAGAAATTTCAAAAATAGCGGTCTCGGATCAGCCCCAAGTCTGGGAGACTGCTCTCGAACTTTGAGACGTGTCCGAAGCGGACCGCTCGAGCCTGCTGGCCCCGCCTCGGACAGGGGCAGCCCCGCGGCAGCGTCGCCAGACGCCTCATCGCCCGCGAGCTCTTCTCGTACCTCCGCGCTCTCATGTCGGAGATCCACCCGCCGCGCCGCTCGACGCCGCCCAGCGACCGCGCCATGGTCAGCTAGTCGCGGGGTGGCCCCGCGCGCCTCAGGATGTAAGGCCTCGGCCCCCAACTGTTCAGGCCGTCCTCGTTCGCGGCACTCTTGAACGCGGCAGTGATTGCCGCGGCCGACCACGGAAAGAGGGGCGCCGTCGAGGGCTCTGCACGGCGCGCCAGCCGCTCCAGCAGCGCGCACATGTACGGCCTCGCCACGCTGAAGCAGGATGGAGTCGTTGACGCCTCGTCTCGGCGGGCAGCAGCTCCTCCTCCGACCGCCGCACCAGCGACGTGGAGCAATAGTCGCCTCCCGCCTCCGGCTGGCTCGGCACCGCGCGGTTGGCCCGCGGCGAGAGCTGCTCGCCACGCCGCAGGTAGGCGCCCGTCGCCAGCGCCACCGCCAGCGCCGCGCGCGCCCCCCCGCGCCGGACCAGCGCCAGCGCGATGGCCGCGACGGCCGCCCACGGGACCGGCGCCCGCGTTACGGGCGGCACCAGCCTGCGCCAGCCCTGCAGCGCCTTGGCCACCCTCGGCAGCTTGAGCAGGCGCCCGGCGCGGTGGAGCCTCGGCCAGCGGTGGCCCACCGCCGCCTGCAGCACGGCGCCGCTGTTGCAGGGTTCCTCCAGCGCGAACAGGAGGTCCTCCTCCTCCAGTACACTACCAGGGCCTCCTCCAGCAGCTCGTCGGCGTCGTGCGCCGGGCCGTTGGTCTTGCAGAAATCGGCAAACCACACCAGCCTGCTCTCGCCACCCTCATTCGTCTTGGTCGCCGCGCTCTCCTGGCCCAGGATCGCGGGCCCAGCGCCAGCCACCTCGTCGCGGGCACGCTCCCGCGCGCCCGCCGCTGGAGGCTGCAGCAGGCCTCTCGGCCGCGCGCGGGATCGGCGAGAAGTCGCCGATGAACTGCGCGGCAGCCTTGTCAAGGTAACCCTGACCAGCTCCGATCTGCCCGCACTCGGCCTCTGCCTCGGAGCTGGCGCTGCCCGCTCGAGCCAGCCCTCTCTCGGGAGCAGGCCCGGCGCTGGGGCTCGGCTCCCAGCGGCGCCGGCGCCAGCCAACGGAAGGCGCCGCTGCGCGCCTCAGGTGCTCCCCCATCCGCCCGGCCCCGCAGGGCTCCCAGTGCAGCTGCAGCCGCCTTCTCAACAGGCGCGTCGAACCATCGGCTGGGCCCATCACTGGGGCTCGGCTCGCCCGCGACCCATCGCGCGCAGGCGCGAGGAAGTGGCCGAGGAGATGGCGGCCCACGTTCTAAACTGAAACAACGCGGGCACAAAGACCGCACGACCCTTCTCCAGACTCAAGACCATTCCCGTTTTGCTACAGAGAAAAATGATGATTATGATGCTATTTGGCTTGTCGGCATTTACGTTTCCATCCGAATGAGAATGCCCTCAACTCCTTCCAGTGCATGGCCCCCCCCGCGTGATGCCTCCGCGCCTGTGTCGTCATCCAGTTGCCCTCCTTGGTGAGCGATGCTGGGAAGTTCAGGAAATTGATGATTGTTGCTCATGGCGGCGTCGTCAATGTCGGCAACGATGCGATGACTTGGGCGCCCGAAATATCAGGGGCAACTCGGGCCCGGGGTAACTCGGGTTTGGATTCCCGGAAAAGGAACCCGAGTTAGCCCTGGCCCGAGTTACCCCTGATGATTCGGGGCTCTGGACGCCCGAGTTATCCGGGGTAGCTCGGGCCCGGGGTAACTCGGGTTTGGATTCCCGAGAAACGAACCCGAGTTATCCCTGACCCGAGTTGCCCCCGATGATTCGGGGCTCTGAATGACTGTAGTGGAGAAGAGGGTGATCGCCCACAACAAGCTCTGAATTTTGCGAAAACCACAGGGCCATCCGGCAGCGACGTGCCGCCCAGGGCCCGATCCCGAGGCCGACCAGCCCCCTCGGCCTTGAAGCGCCAGCGCTCACTCTAGCGCCCCACTCGTCGAACCTCTGCCAAGGGAAAGTCCGCCCCATGCACCGCGTAGCCCCGCAGCGTCGCGTCGGAGCAGGCGACGAGTTCGGACCGCGGCAAATCGAACTGCGCAGCGAGCAGCGGCTGGATATGCCTGGCATTCTGCAGCTCCTGACGCACCGATGGCCAAAGAACACGCGGCGCTCGATAGCGACGCCGAGAGAAGTCGCTGGCGGCGCGGAACATGCAGAAGGGGGGGCGATTGAGCAGCATGGCGCGCTTGAAGTGGCCAACCAATTTCTCGACCTCCCTGCCCGACGCCAGCCCTCCGCCTGAGAAGGGCGCGAGTGCCCTGCGCCAGCCGCCGCCACTTCGAAGACGCCAAGCGGCGCCGGAGCGCGACGCCGCCCAGCTCCAGCCCCAGCGCCTCCACGCCGTGCTTGCCCTCCTCCATTTCGTGCAGCAGCAGGCCGACGCGGGGCGTTTCCTCGGCGGCCTGCTTCCTGGCGGCGGCGGGGGCCCGGGCCGGGGCGACGCGACAAGCCGGTTGTCCACGCGCGCGATGCGGGGCACTGACCACGCCGAGGACTCTGGAGGCACCTGCAGGCCCACCAGCTCGCCTCCGACGCCTCCCAGCCCCGAGCGCCGAAGGAGTTCTCGATGGGCCTGCTGCGCCCGCCTCATGGCCCAGGAGAACCCCGCGGGCAAGACCCGTAGACAAGGGCGCAGCCGCGCGCCCGCCAAGACAAGCTCTCCCAATACAACTTTCACCCCCTCGCCCGCTCTGACTGGCTTAAATCCCGGACCGCGGCATCATGAAGTCTGGCATCTTGAACTGGTAGAAGCAATCCGAGATGTCCTGAATCGAGAACTCCAGCACGTCGCCAGGCTCCGCCTCGAGGCCCACGACCGCCGCCGCACGCGCTGACTGAATTGAGGTAGCACGCCCGAGCTTCTGGCTGACTGAACGCGCGTCAACAATCAGGCGCAGTCGGCCCGACTTCTCGCGCACGATGAATATAACCACTTCAGAATCTCGACGAGCACGGAGCTCCACCGCGCCCCTATTCAGCAAGTCTCGCACAAAAACTGCGCTCGCCTCTGTCCGCGCGAGGAGTCTCAGTAGACCTTGCAGTCCGCCGGGGGCGCCCCCTCAGCTCGGAGCAAAAGAGCGGGGACCGTCGATCACCCCCCGGCGGTAAGGGCCTGGCAACGCGCCCGGCAAGTCCACCGATCCCGAAGCGTCCAGCCGCGAGGCCATGCCGTGATCGCACGGCGCAACCGCGGAAAAGGTCCTCGGGCGCGTAGTCGAGGGCCTCAGTACCGAGCAACTCCTTCAGGGCTGCCCCGGGGGCGATCAAGGGCGCTGGGAGCTCGTCGTCTGCGGCCGCGTGCCAGATGCTGCTGGGCGCCGAAAACTGCGCCTGAGACGGCCGAGACCCACGCAGAAAAGAGCCGCCCCCGTATAGTTGTTCAGGGCGGCGATGCAGTCGTTCGAGCGTCGGCCGACGGCTGCCTTCCTGCCCAGGCGCCGAGCAGCGCGGCGAGGACCTCCGCGGGGTTCAGGAGAGACCGTCATCACATCGGGCGGCGAAATAAATATTCCGAGGCACGATCCTCTCCATGGCGCGGGCTTGTGCGTGGACCTGGGTCGGCCACCCCCCAGCCCCGTCCCTCTTCGCGACCTATAGGCGCGCGCGCAAGCGCGCGCTCCTCAGCAGCCTTCCGTTCCTCCATCAAGATGGCCGAGTCGCGGGCCGCAGACTCGGCGACCCACTTCAGCAGCTCGGGGCTCATGATGGCGCTGCCCGTGCGACGCGGCCCGCCCAGGTATTAGGTCCTGCGTGTCGAAATCCTTGCCAGCCTTCCGCTCCTTTTTGACGCGCTGCTCGATGTACTGAGTGTGGCGGCGCAGGCACTCCACGTACGCAAATTCGACACGTCGAGCAGGTCGAACGTCGTCGCCAGCTTCAGGATATCCGAGAGCATCTCGTGGGTCACCGCGCTGTGCTCCTCCTCCTGCAAATTGTTATCGTGCTACCACGTCATGTGCCGCTGGACCGGGCCGCCCGCCTGCTTGAATACTTCCTTGGTCACGTGCAGCGCTGTGCGGGGGCCCATCCAGGATCCAGTCGGGGAACGAGGGCTGCTCCGACGAGCTCACCACGCTCTTCAGGTCCCTGAAGGGATCCCCGCTGTTGTCCCGAACGATGGGCAGGGCGCTGGCATCCTCGGGGCCAGGCGCCGCCGACGGACGCCAACCTTGGCGGAATGCCAGTGTCCCCCACCCCGTTGTCCTGATCGTGCGGCCGAAGGTAGCCACCACCTCATCCTCGGACTCGCCTACCTCCACCCTGCGCAGCACCGCGGAGTCCCCGCGCAAGCCCGCATCATGGAGCCGACGGCCCCCATGCTGACGAACCTGTCGGACGGAGAGCTGTGCTGCTCAGCCAGCGTGAAGATGCTGCTCACAAGAAGTGCAGACGACTTGGCCACACACACACACACCAACTTGAAGCGATCGGCACATGGCTCCAGCCCCGGCGGCCCAGCAGGAGGTGGCAGAGGCGCCGCTGCAGCACCATCTGCCGCGGCCTGGGGTTCCAGCTCTTCTGGCGACATCCCCATCGCACGCCTCTCGTCGACCGCCTTGGTCCAGCCCTCCTCGAGCAGGTCGCTCAGCTCCTGCCCCACGAGCCGCGCCTGGAATCAGTGCACGGGCTGGCCGCGCGCCGCGCCCAGCCCCGCGGGCAGCCCACCTCGGGGGCCGCCCTCCAAAAAATCCTACAAGCACTCCTTGCTGATCGTCTCCGCGTAGATGTCCGCATCTGGGGTCGTCACGATGTAGGTACGCCCATCCACCAGCGCCAGGATGAGCCGCTCATGCCAGGGTTCCTCTTCCACGCCGCAGTTGAGGTACGCCACGTCCCCAGGCTTCAGCCCCAACTGATCTCTGCCTCTTCGACAGGCGCTGCATCATGGCGACTGATCTGAGGTGGCGCCTGCAATGGAGCAAGCACACACGGAGCCGCTGGCTGCTTGTAGGCGACCGCACCGAGGAGCACCAGCCTGAACGTCACGTAGAACGAGCAGCACAGCGCTTGAGAAGCCAGCACCAGCAACACGCCAAAGGCGAATGACAGAGTGATGCCAAACAGGGCCAAGCCCAACGGCACGGGAGTGGACCGGATGCCCTGCGAAGTCAAGCAGGCGTTGGCCGAGGTGGAGAGCGCGACCGCGCAAGGGCTCACCCCCGGGGTCTGCTGCAGGGCATCGCTCGCCGAGTCTGCGGTCGGAGAGCTGGCGAGGGAAAACCGCCTGAGCACAAACAGTTGCGGCCAGCACAGAACATTCAGCGTTGCACACTGCCTTGCGTTGCTACTGGAGCAGGGAGCAGGGAGGGATGAGAATAAGGAAGAGATGAGCAGGGAGCATGGAGGAAGGGACAGTGAGGAGGAGGAGGAGGAGGAGGGAGGCAACCATCCCTCAGAAAGTGGGCGGCGGCGGCCGGCAGGGGCGGCGGGCGCAGGCGCCCGGCGCCCGGCGCCTGTAGTCCACGGAGCCCGTCCCGAACTCGCGCTGGAGCTCCTCCTCGAAGAGCCTCCGCGGTGCGAGAGCGGGGCAACAGCAGCAGCAGCAGCAGGGGCGACAGGGGGGGCGGGCAGGCGGGCCGAGCCGGCGGAGGCGGGAAAAGGGGCGGGCGGAGAGCGGGGCGCGGGCGGGCGGAGGTGGATCGCTCGATAGGGCTGGGAGAAGGATCGCGGGACTGCGGCTGGCCATGGGGTGGTCAGCTGGCGTCCGCCCGAAGGACGAGGGAGAAGACGTAGGAGGGAGACGGGATAGGAAGCAGCAGCGGCAGCAGCAGCACAGGAAGGAGCGGGCGGAGGAGAGGAGGAGGAGGAGGAGGAGGAGGAGGAGGAGGAGGAGGGAGGGCATGGCAAGGTCGGCATGGGTAGGGAGGAAGGGAAGGGGAGCGAGAGCGAGGGAGCGGAGGAGGAGGAGATATGGGAACCGGGAGGAGGAAGAGGAGGGAGAGTGAAGGAAAGAAGCAGGGACAGCAGCAACGGAGGAAGGACCGGATTGAGGAGGAAATCGGAGAAGGCGAGAGAGGATTTATTTGTACCCGAGGGGCTCCATCTGCTTTGCTCTGGCGGCAAGCTGGGAGAGAACCCAGCAAGATAGAAGAGACAGAGCTGCAAGAGGCCAGTACGCAGCGAACGACTGGCTTTGGCTCCGACCGCGCAGGCCAGGCCACAAAGGACGGGCCTGAGACGGCATATCGTCCAGGGTCGGAGCGTGGTCTGACCAAGGCGGTGGCAACGCGGAGCAGACCACCCCAAGGAGGCCAGACCGAAAGGCCCGAGGAACCCGACCGAACACGGGCAGCGGGGACCACAGTGGGGGGAGAGCGTCAGGAGGAGACTCCACTGAAAAACAGGAGGGAGATGGGGGGAAGGAGGGAGGAGGAGGAGGAGGAGGAGGAGGAGGAGGAGGAGGGAGGAGGAGGAGGAAGAGGAGGAGGAGGAGGAGGAGGAGGGGGGGAGGAGGAGGAGGGAGGACGGAGCGGAGGTGGGAGAGCAGCGAGAGCGAGAGACACTCAGCAGCAGCACGGAGCACCTGTTGGCGAAGGCTGAGGGCAGCTGCTAGTGCAGCGCTCGAGGCCTGCGCGCCGCAAGCTCCGCATCAGACAGTGAGGACGTGGGCGAGCGCGCCCGCGGCCAGTGCGGCGCACGACCGGGCCATGCAGCACTTGGCTCAGCACGTGCTCCCACGTTGGCGGACGTGGCTGTCCCCTCCCTCAGCCATGCGTCGACCCCCGCCTCCCTGGCGGCACGAAGGCCGCCCGGCGCGAAGCACGGGGGCTCAGGCTGCCTGGGTGACCTCTCCCCTGTCGCAGCGTCGCTCGTTCCCCCACTGCGCTCGTGTCCTCGACGTCGTCCTCCTCCTCCTCCGAATCTTGCCACCGCCAGGGATGGCGGTGATTCAGGAACCGACGCACATGTCGATTCGATCCGAGGGTCCAGGGCATTACTTCGTCGCTTCAGGAACACATTCTCCGCCAGACGGCGCTCCTGCGAAGGACGAGCCGCGGTGTTTGACCAGAGCGGCGAGGGTATTCGAGAGATGGTTTCGCACAGCACGACACAGACCACATCGTGTTTGCGCACTCCGCGAAATCTTCAAGGAATCATCGGGGTAGCGCACGATTGAGCCTCACACTGAGAAAAATCATGTGGCAACAACACGTGTACAGTACTGCCAGGAGTGGTGGGACAGTATGTGGGCGTGCTTGCGCAAAAAGCGTCGTCGCATTGAATGAATTGTCCAGTGGCCGTGGTCATCGTGTGATGTGGGAGGATGCGAGCTTCATGGCGTATGGTACTGGCTGGCGCCAGACACTCGACGAATGCTGGACGATGGCTGGATGGATGCAGCTTTACCCTGCGCTTGTCCCGCATCCAAGAGACCCTATCACGAGCTGAACGGTATCCCAAGATCAATATGCTAAGCGCCTGAAGCGTGGACATGTGGTTAAACAACCGTTGGAAACGTTTCCAGCTGACCATGGCGAAGGGGCGCCAGAAACAGTGTTCGTAAAGTACGCTGTGCAGAGTGCAGATGCGCCCTTACTACCGATGGCAAATCCATGGCGGGAATAATCGACGTCAACCGCACTACCTTAGAACCGTTGTTCGCACGCGTCGCAAACCGTCGCTTTCGCGCGTTGGACAGTTGAGTTAGACTGGGCTGGGAAATTGACACTGCGATCCAGCGGATGCAACAAGATGTATGATCACGGATACGGTAAGCGCCACCATGAACGAGAAACGGTCTTGGGCCCAAGAGGGGTCCCAAAAAGACCCCAAGGGGACAACGCGAACCGACTTTTCGAGCACTCCGCACCAAGACGAACCTTCGAGACCGACATCAGCCCCCCCAGGAAGCCCCCCCCCCAAGAAAGTCAAAGAGGCCCCCAAGAGGCCCAAATCAGTCCCCAAGAGGCCCCCGGGGGCCCCCGAGAGGCCCTGAAGACACCCCAAGGCCACCGAGCTCCGCGCACAAGCCCCGCGTCGGCCTTGGACGAAGATAAAGGCAGGATGAGACCAGGTTCGGATGAGGACAAAGCAGGTCTCTCTGAGAGCTGGCGTGTCTGGTGTCTGTAGGCTGTCGTCGGGGGTGGCCAAGAGGGGGGCGTCCAAAGGTGGGGGCGCAAATCATGGCTGGCGACATGTGCGCGGCCAGGGGGGAGGGAGGCAGGGACGCATTGGAACAAGAAGAGACGCCATGACATTGAGGGAGATATCATGGCCCCCACCAGGATATCCCCCACCTAAGTCATCACCCCTCTCTTGGCCGCCCTCGATGTCGGGTGCCGCGGCAGACCCGCAGCGATCTAGGACGCTCCGACAGCGCGCCGAGACACGTCCCGATGAGGTTGTTACTCTCATCCTGGGCCTGCCCGATGGGTGGCGCACGAACTGCCCAAGATCGGCCCCAGAAACCTCTTTTGCGTTGGGCGGACTCTGAGTGCAAAGCCTCTGGGGTCCTTCTGGTGGTAAGACACAACATTAAACCGCCCGAGTGCAGATTAAGCGGCGCAGGAGGTGCGAAGATACATGGAGAAGTGAAGCACCCGCGAGAGCATATGATATTGGATCTGCAGGCGTCGGCAGAGTACGTAGTCCCCTTCCCCCCCCCCCACACTCCTCTCTCCTCACCCTACGTCGCACCGACATGAGTTAACGAAACTAAGCAGTGTCCACACTGTAAGGCTGGCGCAGTTTGCACAGGCTACTTTCCTCCACCTCCTCCACCTCCTGCTGCTTCCTCCACCTCTACCTCCTCCTCTACCTCCTCCTCCTCTACCTCCACCTCCACCTCTACCTCTACCTCCTCCTCCTCCTCCTCCTCCTCCTCCTCCTCCTCCTCCTCCTCCTCCTGCTGCTGCGCTCTCGCTCCCTGGGTGTCCGAAGAGGGCTCGCCGCGGCCGCGGTCGACACTGCAAACTGTTCTGCTCAGCTACGTCGTGGCAGAATCAGAACCCGAAGGCTCCTCCACCGCCATTGTTCAAGCCGTTTGCTCTGGCGCGGCGATACCGAAGTGCGAAAGCAACAGCGCTGAGGCCAGTTTCGCTGGTGGGGTTCGTCAGTCCGCTTTGAGCCGCAGGTTGCGGACAGTGCGCGAGCGATCTAAAATCAATGACAAGATAACCTGGCTCCACGTGTCCTTTCCTTGTGACACCCTACCCGCCCAACGCAGATCAAGGGGAAGAGCATCAGAGATCTTTTGGATTGCACGCGGTGTATCTGCGCAAATCTATTGGGCGGGCCCTCTCTCAAGCAAGCAGAGGGGAGACCCGCGTGCTTCGCTCGGGAAGACGGGCCTCTGGATCTCCTCGAGGAACGCGAAGGCGAGGTTCTTCGGATAGCTCTTGTCGAACAGCGCCATGTAGCACACGCCGCTGTCCATGGCCTCTGGAGCGCACGCACAACTGGCCAGACCACTGGGCGGCAGCTCCGCCTTCGACACGAGCCATCACGCGCCACCGCGCGTGCGCCACCGCGCGTGCGGCACGTCCCCGTGCGCCAGGCCGCCCCCCCCCCAGTGCGCTCAGAGCGTGTGGATATACGGCCCCCCGCGACGCGGCAGCAGCCAGGCCGCACACGACTCGAATGCCGGGAGGCCGCCGCTCTGAGCGCGGAGCCTCGGCGCTCTCGCCGCCTCGCCAAGCGAGGCGGCTCGCGGCCCGCGGCCGCCAAGCGAGGCCCTCGGAGGGCCCGCGACGCCCCGGGGAAGCTCCGAACGGTGCCCCGACGGCCCCAAGACGGCCCAAGCCCGCCCAAAGACGGCCCGACCACGGCCCGGGGCCGCGGTGGCCCCGCCGCGGGCTCCCAACCCGCCGCCCCGCAGCCGAAGGACGGCGCGAGGCAATCCCCGAAAAGGCCCCGGGACGGCCCCGGGTCTGGGCCAGGACGCCGGGGCACCCGAGGCGCCTCCCAGGGGCCCCAGAGGAAAGCCCCGGCAGCCCTCGAGAAGGCCCCACAGAGGCCAGGCAGGGGCCTTCCGGGAGGCCAAGCAGAGTCTTCCCGAGAGGCATCGCGACGACCATGCCGATGCCACGCCGCAGCGCTTTCCGAGCGCAGTGATGACATTCGTGGTAGCATAGTCGAAAACAAGCTGGTAAGCTTAGGTATGTGTTACGCTTTAAGCGTTGCCATATCCCAGGCTTTGGCTCATATCGCATGAGCAAGAGTGCAAGACGAAGCATGGGATCTGGAGTAAAGGATAGGATGGGCATCGTCAATGGAAAAGGTATTTTCCGATCTCTGATGCAAGTCGTGCGCCTCAGTGAGGCACAGTCATATATTTGGCCGGGCCCGGCTTGAGCCAGGCACGGCAGCGGTACATGCTCGATTTATACCTCGCCTTTAACCTTCTCCGTTTAAAGTCGGAGGGGGAGGAGACGAGCAGGTACCGCACTTCTACATTATGCGGAAAAAACAGTGCTAAGCAGCAGCGGCTGCCTACAAGGAAAGGGCGCGCGAGTAGCCTCGCTACCGGCGAGTTTCCTCGCTACTAAAGCGCACCTGCCCGCGGGTTTCCCCGCTGGCTCGGGAGGCAGGGCCGTCCTGAGACGACCTGCCCGCCCTATACGGCGTATGTTTCTTCAGCTCGTGCTTGAAGGATTGCTGGCCGGCCATTACTTGTAGGAGCAACGCGCGGTCAATACTACCTTTGGTATGACCATCGGCAGTCATATCCCGCGTGTCACACCATTGGACGCTTTCCACGATTCCGCGTTCCATCATCTGGCGGATCCAGCTGATGTGCCCAAGCAGAGTACATTCTGTGGGCTTCTTCAGATCTTTGCTAGACAAAGACTTGAAGACAGACTCGGCATCAATAGTCAGAGTGACTTTGATACATAGACCACCCATTTCCAATATGTTCTTTAACTGTGTGGGGGTCAATGGTCCCGAGTGTAGCTCGTGGAGCGTTACAATGGTCGGGTAGCAGTCTTCCAAGTTGTGGGCTGCTGCCAGTGTTTCCGCAGAGTAGCTCGAACGCACCTGCAGTCGATGAGACTTGCAGTATGCGTCCACCAGGTGCACGACGGGTTTCCCCGCTTGCGTGTGGCCACGCCTCAGCAGGTTAGCCCCGCGGATACCATAGCCTTTGACTTCGTCGTCTTCATCTCCGTTGAGACGACGATAGCCAGAATCGCTATGCAGGTCGACTTCTCCTGTTGGGGTCATAGCTTGATACACGATCTTCTTCGGACCTGCCTGTAGCTTTCTGGTAACCGCGTTTAGTCGTCGTACCTGGATGTTTGTCGGTTCCTGGATACGTTGTAGTGAGACAACATAGACCATCAGCCATACCTGCGTGATCAACGCATAGGCTAGAGCGCCACGAAGACTGACGAACATATCAGAAATCGTCTTTGTCGCTTTGCTCTCAGGATCAGCTCCTGTGAGTTCTGGATGTGTGATAGGACGAAGCTGTTTGATGTATTCGTCCTGATCGAGAGTGACGCTCCCATCATCGGTCTTGTTGTACCGAACGGCACAGTTTGTGTATGTGTGCTTGTTCAGTTTGCACTTCCCAAACGTATCTTCAACACACTTGACATACTTGTCAATAGCCTCTTCCTTCCCAGTCATATTGATGTCATCAACGTGCTTGGCTGTCAAGAGGTTTGGGCTCATCTCGAACTCTTCGTCGTATGAAGTAGGCTGTAGCCCAAAGCTCCTAGTGATGGACCTGAGCTTCAGCGAGAATGCCCTGGGAGCATCCTTCGTGCCCGTCCCCGGTTTCAGACACCGGAGACAATGCTTTGATTCGTCATATGACTCAAAGCCTGGCAGTGTGCGAAGGACAGCTGCTGACCCAGGTGGTAGTGTGAAGCACACCACACGCTCTTTCTCGCCCGTTGCCGCGGCGAGCTCGCCATAGGTCAGTCCCTTCAAGAAAGCCATGTTGATGTCCAGGGAAGCGATGATCCAAGCTTTGTTGCATGCAGCAGAACTTGCGAGCAGTCTCTGGCTTGACCTCCTTGCCGTGCCAGAGAAGGTTTCGACATCAAAGGCTTCAAGGTCCATGAAGCCACGGAGTACCAAGCGTAACCTGATCGTCCTTTCCATTTCGCCCTTTTCGTTCTTGACAAACTTCCATTTGTATACGTAGCGTGACGTCATGATGTTAGACGCCTTGCTTAAGTCAGTCATCTGGAAGCATTTGTTGTCAAGCCAAGTCTTCAATTCTGTGTAGAGGGCTTTGGAAACTTTGACCGGATTTGCTTGGATGTCGGCCTTCGTGAGTAGATCGTCTTCCTTGACGACCACGGCACGTTTGGAGGCAGCGCTAACGTATACTCGCATAGTTGTGACGCTGCTGTCATCCAACAATCGGTGTTGCTGCTCGGACAGGACGACTTTGGACATGTCTGCAGTGAAGCAGAGCTCGATGTACTTCCCGTGCTCATCGGAGTCCAGATCATATTTGCTATCCGGATCCGTGGAGCATAAAGGAACGTAGTAAGAAGTGTCCATGTCGTATCCTGGCGGGTGACCCCGCTCCGGCAAGTGGCCTTGCACATCTTCACAGGTCGTAGAGACTAACACACACTGTGTGTCTGTCATGTATGTGGGAACTGTATGCATGACTTCCTCTGTGTCAGCTTCAAGGAGTGTTCTGTCATCCATCAGTTCAGCATACCACGACTTCAAGACAAAAGCATCCAGATCTTCTTCTGTTTCCTCTATGATGGTCGGGAGCCGACCATCGTTATCCGTAGGAGGCTCCTCAGGAGCAGCTGCTGGAGGTGATTCGCTTGGTGGTGGACCATCAGCGAGTTCCTCAAACTTAGTGAGGTCTTGGTCAAATCCAGCAGACGGCTTCCTGGATTTAAGACACTGGATGATGCGTGAGTGTGTAGATCCTGTGATGTCATAGATGTTCAAGGCAGTGCCATCAGCTTCATAGTAATGAAAACCAGGGGTCACATCATTATCATAGTGCACTAGTGTACAGCTGTCTGCATAGGGTGCAGCAGGCAACTTCGTCAGGCTCTTGGCAAGTCGTACAGCAACAACGTTTTCAATACGAAAGTAGTTGCGTATGAGGTACTGAAGAGCCAAGTGCACCTTAGGCGAAAGTCGGCTCGCAGCAGTCATCTGCAGCCGACCCTGTTTCGCTGGTAGATATCCGAAAGTCATGGCGGGTTTCCCCGCTGGCAGACCGGCAATAAAGGCCAATACTGTCCGAAGGGCCGTATTGTCCGATCCTATCTCGCGGACCATAAGTGCTTCGATGTACAGTGTGTGTCGTGTGTCAGGATACTGTACTCGCACTTCGCGACTGCCGACCTTCACGATGACCTGGCCTCGGTCAGGTTCGTTGCGGATGACCGGGTATGGACCACTCCATCCACCCCAGTCGTCTTTCGTGGTGGTCGGGCGATGATAGTCCACGAGATCTCCCTCTTTGTAGTGAAATTCACCCGTAGCAGTAGTCTTCGTACGGAGAGCCCTGTTCGTCTTGGCAACCGCAGTGGCCTGCGTGATTGCCTCCAGACTAACCCTCCTGATTGTTTCCTCCCTTGAGTGATCTGATGATTCAGCGGACTGATCATGATCCAAGACAGGGAAATCGGGAAGCATAGCTGGTTGTCTGCCATACAGCGCATTGTACGGAGACACTTCATTGTAGAAGGTAAATGCGTTGCTGGCAAACAAGGCTTCATGTAAGAGACGAGTGAAATTGAGAGGAATATTTAATCTATTCAATTCTTCTCCCATCACGTGTAAGAGGTGTCGCAGGATGCCGTTCCTAGCTTCGATAGTTGTAGCGTGTTGGCCACGCGCTCGAATACGAAGCTCTGTTCCCTTAGCCTTAAGGATGGCCTTTGCTGTATCATTATTCAGTGCTCCTTCCCCATCGGAGTATAAGATTTTAGCAGGGCCATGTTGCATCCAAGTCGTATGATAGGCATCGAGAACAGTATGCATGGCTTTATCAGGAATCTCTGTGCCAGCTGCCCAGCGAATACAACGGTCGATGATGTGAAAAACAATATGTTCCTGTTTGTAAAAGAAAAGATCACATTCGACTTCCTCGTTGAAACGTCCTGGCAGTGACACAGAAGGCATCACCGTGTTGCCTGGTTTGTCCCAGGCTCGACATTCTCTACACGAGTCACAAATGCCTTTGATCAGACTCAAACGGGTTTCACCCAGACCAACCTTGGTTAGAATCATCCGCATTTTTGGCTCCTTGGCATGAAACCATCTCAGGTGGAGTTTGCGGAGTTCTCGCTGCACTACAGCTGGGTCGAAGCTGCGCAGGTTTTGGAGGCTGAGCTGAACGTCGAAGCGAGTCCAATCAGGGAGCCTTGGCCTTGGCCTCGGCTCTGCTTGAGGCTGCGGCGGTGGTGGAGGATCTCCTCCCTCCATGCGTCCGCGCCTTGCTGC